GTAAGGACGAAGGGGCGGAGAGGGCAACTCAACCCATGGGCCGCGGTAGCTAGATCGGGCAGGTAGACGAGGTCATAACATTTCTTCATATCAAGCAATCCCCCCGCCACACCAAACCCGCCCAACACCGCCAACTCCCCCTCCAGCTCATCAATCCAGCCCGCGTGCTCAGCTGAGCCGCCGACCGTTTTGTCCCACGGTCCGTGGCAATCCTTGTCCCACGCACCGATCATGGGTTTGCGAATACGGCACAGCAGAACATAGCAGAAACTCAAGAGCGCGATGGGCCTCAACCCTCCATCCTCCTTATCCAGGAGACACATCATGTTAAATAGTTCCTGGAAAGGCACAGCTGCTTTGCATTCCGTATCCGTTAGAATTGCAGCAAGCGCTGCGAGACACTCTGGAGGCCCATCCTTGACCAGGCGAGGAGGCAAACCGTCCAAACCTCGACCGCGCCTGTCAGGCACCGACATCAGAGCCGCTCTCACCTGGTCAACGGAGATGGGGGCCATCGGCTCAGACTGGAGCGCTGCGCGCCGCCACGAGGCAAGGGCCGAGAGGGCCTCCGGGCGGCTGTGGGAGCTCCAGATCTTATGCCAGGCTTCGCCCTCCACCTCCAACAGCTCCGACGGTGACGCAGCAGGGCGGCCTCTAAAAAGAGGCCCCTCTCGGGGCCCCATCGGTTCCTTGAGGGGCCTGTGGGCGGGAGCCGCAGACTTCTGAGGCGCTTCGCCTAGCCGGACCTTCCAACGACTGCGAGCCGCATTAGCAGCAACAGCCGCAGCTCTCCTGCTCTTAGCCTCCGCCTCCTCACAGCACTGCTCTAAAGACTCAGCAGTGAGCTCGCGGAGGCGCCGAAACCGATCGATCCACCTCGAGAGCACAACAGCCTCCACGACGTCAGAGGGATCGAGGGCCTCGGGCTGCACCAGGGCCTCGAGAGCGCGGACCTGGCTCCAAAACGGAGCCGAGACAGAGGACGGGGGCTCAATGAGCTCCTCCGAGTCCGCATCGGGGTCCACCAGACGCCTCAGAAAGACCAGCTGGGAGGCCAAAGACTGCCAGAAACGAGCGCGCCTGTCGGCTAGGGGTGGCCCCGTCCGAGGCCTTGGGCGCCAGGGGGGCCCTCCTAGAACGCGGAGCCTGACACCTACCTACATAATGGGGCCACTCACTCTCAGGGATACCTTTTTCTTGCGCATGTGACAAGCTCCAGGGCGCGTGCCCAACCAGAAAGAGAGCGGCCAAGGTCCATGACCGCCTGGATAGAGTCGCTCTGCTCGCTGACCACCTGCGCAATCGGCAGATTCGGCATGAAACGGTTTGGCTTTGAGTCAATCAAGGATGAGGCCCGCTGCACTGCTGTATCCCAGTCGAGCTGCCACGAACTGCTGAGGTCAGTCGCGACGTCCAGCGCCCTGGGCTCCATCGCACGAAGCCCCTCGATCCGCCTGGGCTCCGCCATCAGCTCGAACTTCAGAGCCAAGTGGGTGCCCCAGGGGGCCGTAGAGTTAATGCCGTCGAACCTCGCGGCAGGCAGTAAATCGCAGCTCACGGACCCGAAATCAATTTTGCTGGCCGCGCCCCTGCCACCCGCGCAGGTGAACACCAGGTCCGACGGGATCTCGCACAAACCCAAACTGCTGAGGGAATTCACACTGGCGAGGTTACCAACCGTATTCTGCTAATCACCGATAATCACGACAGGTCCAGCGACCTGGCAGATGCGAGCCCCGAGCTGGGACAGGACGCGCATGTTCTTGCCGTTGGGCCACCCGCCCGATACGAGGTAAACAGGGACGAAGGTGACTATCACGTGCTTCAAGCGGAGCGTCGCCACACACACCAGCGTGAGCACGCACTGGTGGCCCAGCCACCGTCTGCCTCAAGTGAGAGGCTCGAGAGGCCCAGGTGCGAGCGGGCCAGCACTGCCACACCAGCAGAGGACGAGTCAGCATCCGTGCCGTCAGCGGCTCCAACCACCGCCTTCCATCCGAAGCGGTGTCTAATCTTTGCGCCCTGGCCAAAGCAGGCCCGAGGGCGCGGGTCTCGGCAACAAAAAAAACAATGTCAGCGGAAGTCTCAGCAAGCCAACGTTCAGCTTGCGGGCCCCACTGAGAGATGTTGCCGTAAGTGATCTTCAAGGTCTTGGGGGATGAGCGGGTCTCCTTGCTGCTAGGACTCCTGCATGCCGTTGCCCTTGGCCCCCCCAGCACCCTTCCTGGCGGCCTCATCGAGCTCCTGCCGCGCGGCGGCCCGCGCCACCCTCGCCTCGGTGGCCTCGCGGGCGGCTCGGAGGGCGGGGTCCACACCCTGCGCGGGCGGCGGCTCCGCGGCGGCCGCTGCGCCACTGGGCGCTGCGGCGGCGGCGGGCGCAGGAACGGACGGGCGGCCATCACCAGGGGCTGGGGGAGTCGCGGCGGCTTGCCCCTCTGGACCCTTTCTCTTCTTCTTCTTGAGCTGCTCGAACCTCTCAGACCGCTCCTTCTTGATCATCTGAGCCTCATCCCGAGCCTGGGAGAACGCAGTACTGAGCAGGACTCGAGCACGTTCAGCACACTCCTTGGAGAAATCCGCCAACTGGTTGCGTTCCTCATCAGAGTACAAATCCCCCGACAGGTCGAGCTCCTCTCCCAGGTCCAGAGACAACGAAGAGGGGTCCGCCAGGAGAGCCTCGACGTGGACAACCGACTTCTTTGCGGAAGGCTCCTCAGGGGGGAGGACCCGCTGCGCCAAGCGGCGCGCAGCTTCTTCGGCCTCCTTCTTGGCCTTAATGTCCTCCAGCAAAGCGTCATCCACCTTCCGCTCGGCCTCGGCGAGCATCTTCTGAATACGAACCTGATTCTGAAGTGCCTGCTGGAGCCTGTTAGCGGTCGCCCGCTGCCGTCCCTCCGCCGCCTGCACCTTGTTCCCCTGGCCCAATCTGTAGGCAGGAGGCGCAGGCTTCTGGATGCCGAACTCATCGAGGAGGGCACGAGCCTAATCAGGCGGGAGGTCGGAAGCGAACTGCTGCATGAAAGCGAGCTGGGACGCGGCGAGCCCAGAGGGCTTGGACACACCGCTTCCCCCCCACGCACAGTGGGCATCACCCGCCTTTGCCGTGTCACTGGCTGGCACCAACTCGGCCATGCAGCCAACATAATGACCACGCTTACGAAGAAGACGATCGTAAGTCCAATGACCGCACTTACAGAAAGTGTAGGGCTCCTCCTTGTGGCGGCGACCCAGGACGGGCGTCCACGATCCACTAGGCGAGACCGTCGATGAGTCGCCTCGCACCCACGGGTTGAACGAGAAGCCCACCTGCGGCGCCATGGCACGAGGGAGCTGAGCGCGAGAGAGATGGAGCACCCCCCTGCGGGCAGCAGGTGGCACACGGAGGTCAGAGCAAAACTGTCGGACAGAAACACCCTGGCACTGGCCGCGGACTAGCGGTATCCACTTGTTCCCCTGCGGAACAAACCATCTTGAGCCAAAATGGCTACGGACGACGACGACGACGAGGACGACGACGACGACGACGACTGAGGAGGAGGAACAAGAGGAGGGAAGGAGGAGAGGAGGCAGGAGAAGGGAAGGAGCATGAGGAGGTCATCCGGGCGACTCCAACGTAAGACCCATGGAGGCCTATCCGGAAGGAAAGAACTTCTGGGGCAAGCCCAGGAACCCAGGGGGTCTGGTTTCCGCGGAAGAAGAAAAGAAATCCCTGGCGAGGTGTTCGAGCACGGGGTTTACCCCCCCCTGCAATTCCGGAAGAGGAATGAACTCTCAGCCGCGAGGGTGTCCGCGCGCGGGGTCTCAACCCCCCCAGCGCAACCGGAGGAGGAAAAGCGCGCGAGCCCAGATTGTAAGTACCATGCAGCAACACTCTAATAGTGGCTGTACTGGGGAATCGTACTAGTACTAGGGAGTTGTACTAGAGAGTTGTGCTAGGGAATTGCACTAGGGAATTGCACTAGTATTAGGAAGTTCTATTAGGGAATTGTACACGAGAATTGTAGTACTCGGGAGTTGCACTAGGGAGTTTCACTCGGGAGTTGAACTAGTACTAGGTGATTGTACAGGGCAGTTGTAAATGGGAGTTGGATTAGGGATTTAGAAGTACTGGGGAGTTGTACTAAGAAGTTTTGCCAGGGAGTTGTACTAGGGAGTTGTACGAGTACTACTTGTACTAGGGACTTCTGCAAGGGAGTTGTACTATGGAATTGTACTGGGGAGTTGTACTAGCACCAGGGAGTAATACTAGGCAGTTGCACTAGGGAGTTGCACTAGGGAGTTGTACTAGCACTAGGGAGTTGTACTAGGCAGTTGTACAAGGGAGTTGCACTAGTAGTAGGGAGTTGTACTAGGCAGTTGTGAGAGAGCGTGCACTGTCCGACTAAATGTAATAGTATACACATTGCACTCTAACACTTGTACTGCAGGACCTGGTGCACTCTAGGAGCAGCTGCGCGTCAGTACATGATAGTACCATTTGTACTCACATACAAGTTGTACTGTAGTTCGAAGGGTTCAAGGATTTCAATGGAAATACGCGCGCGGAAACAAAAAGACAAACAAATCATGCGCCGCCAAGGGTCCTGGGTTTAACGGGTCACCGCGAAGGTTGACCCCCCGCGGAAAGAAGAACATCAATCCGGCCGGGGGGGTGGAGGGTGTTAAGGCGTGAGTCGAGGGACTGATTTGGGGAGGCAGGAGCAGGAGGAGGACGAGGACGACGGCGTGGCGGGGCGCACCTCGTTTGGGGATACATCAGCCTTGCCTGCCACGTATAGTTGGCGCGACGACAACGACGACGACAACGACGACGACTGAGGAGGAGGATGAGGAGGAGGAGGAAAAGGAGGAAAAGGAGGGGGGAGGGAGGAGAGGAGGCAGGAGAAGGGAGGCAGAATGAGGAGCTATGAGGAGACGGAGAGCAGGAGCAGGAGGAGGACGAGGACGACGGCGTGGCGGGGCGGCCCTTCCCTGGCCCCGCCCCCCCAGCCCGCCCCCACCCGTTGTCGTGGCAGACGGCTTCTCTCCCGCCGTCCAGCTCCCACACGCCGTCCTCCACCCGGCAGCGCCAGTCGTCGTCGTCGTCGTCGTCGTCGTCGTCGTCGTCGTCGTCGTCGTCGTCGTCGTCGTCGTCGCCGACGAGGACGACCTCTACGGAGGAAAGGGGGCGGTAAGCGAGGCACAGCTAGAAACTTTTCGTCTTCGACCGGGCAAGAATACTCGTGGCAAGTACGAGGGTGGCCACTGGGCCACTCCCTCCCACTACGCACCTTTCTCCCCTGGCGACAGCCCCATCCGGCGCGAACATGCGCCGTGCGGCAGCCACGGCTCCTCTGATGCGTCTCCAGCCCGATCGCGGCACCTGCCACTCCCGTTGCGCCCTGGCCCCCTGGCGAAGTGCCGGCGCTGACCTTCGTGCCCAGGCCCACCTGCCCGGTGCCGCGCGACAGCCTCCCTCCCTCCCCGCCCTCTCCGCCCGCCCCTCCGCCTGCGTTCTCCGCCCCCCCCCCCACCCGCGGGCCGCAACGTGGTGCCCGGCCGCCGCCGCGTGGCGCTTCCGGGGCGGCGCTCGCGCCTGCCTGGCGCTTTGCGGCCCAGCCCGGCACCAGCTGGGCGCCCCAGCCGACCTGGCGGCCTGGGCGGCCCCCGCGGCCGCCCGGCACCTGCGCGGTGCGGCCATGCCCAGCGTTTCGTGCTGATGCCCGCGGAGGGTCGTGTATGCGGCTCCCTCCCTGGTCCCGCGCGTGGCGCAGCTGCCACCTGGAGGGCCCGCCATTCATGGCCATCCTTGCCATGTGCAGCAGCTGGCTACTTCCCTGGACGCCTCGGAGCTCGCCGCCTGGGGCTGCCTTCGCGCGACGCCCTTGTCATTGACGGCTTTGCCCCTGGATCGCGCCTGGGCCGCTGGTGGACTCCACGCTCTTGCACCCCACTGCCCGTTCTGGCGGCGCGCACACGGCTGCTTCTTGGAAGGCGCCAGCCTTACATACATCGGCAGACAAGGCCCGCGCGCCTCCTGAGAAGCAGGGGTGCTTCTGAGAAGCCTTCCCCCCTCCCCCGACCCTCCTCTGCGCGCGTGGCCCACTGAAAAGGGTTCCCTCTTCAGCGCCCCGACTGTACCCCCCTCTGCGCGTGGCCGACCTCTGCACGACCCACTTGTGCCTGGACGTGTCGAGCTGGGAGCACCACCAGCTACACGCCGAGCCTGCTATGGCACATCCCGCAGACCTTCATGCTACGAGGGCCCTCCTGGGCCGCGCGCGGTCGTCGCTGCGGATCCCGCACGTCGATCGATTTGGTTTGATCGGCACTGTCACTGACGACACGTATCCTTGCATCACGCCCTGAGCGCGGGTGGACTTTTCGCTCTCGCACCCCACTGCCCTTTGCACGACTCACCTGTGCCTGGACGTGTCGACCAGCAGGCCGCACCACCGGCTTCGGGAATCTTCTGACCCGGGTCAATCCAGACCCGGGTCAATCAAGCCTTGCAGAGTCCTGCAAGATCCTGCACCCAAACCCGGGCCAACGCGAAGGATCCTGCAAGATCCTGCAGGATCCTGCACCCAAACCCGGGTCAATGCGACCCTGGCCCTGCAGGATCTTTTGGCAGGTGGATCTCTCGCAAGCTCTCCGCCGCCTCTGGCGGTGTGCGCTGCGAGCAGGAACATAGCAGGAAGGTCGGGCGCTCTGGCTGACCCCCGCTTGCCTTGACCCCCGTCTCCAGTCGGGCGTTGGTAGAACTGGGTTTAGTGGAACCTGGTTTAGTGATCTGTACCGGGGGCGCCCCCGTCCCATTGCCACTAACCGGAACTGCTGTCACCCGAAAAAACACTGGCTATGGCAAACCTGGCTTAGTGATTCTGGCCAATTCGAAGGCTCCGGGGCCCTACCTCTAACCGGGTCCCCATACCTGGGGTCCTGGCCTTAAGTCGGGCCTGTCCCCCTACAGGGGGATATTCGACGAAAAATCCGCCGACCCTGTCGGCGTGTGCGAGGGGCTTCCTCGTCCGAATCGTCTTCGTTGTTCGACATGAAGTGAACGGCATCATTTCCTCGCCGCCCCCCTTCTTCCTTCCCCTTTTTTCTTTTTGGGCCGTACCCTCCTGCCGTCATGCCGTTGTAGATTCGAAGGGAAGCCCCTTCCCTTTGATCCCTTCCCCAGGGGGGGGGGGTCCGAGGGGGCCAGGGGAGGGTCCCGGGGGGGGTCCCGGGGCGGGGGTGGGGGGTGGGGTGGGGGGGCAGAATTGTTTTTCCTCGGGCGGCCTCGAAACCTCGAAAACACTCCAAATGAGGTCCGAATGCCCAAGATGGCCCCCGAGACGGCCCAAGAGTGCCCCGAGTCGCCCAAAGATCGGCCGAAGACGCCCAAGATAGCCCCAAGACCGTCCAAGAAGCCTCCAAGACGTCCCAGGCCCCCTCCAAGAGCACCCCCAAGAAGGGCCCAAGAGGCCACACTCATTACTTCTCCATCGGAGACTTACATGTTTAGCATATGCGACGTTTCGGCCTTCACGGCGTCAAAGACAGCCCGAGAGGACCCCCAAGAAAGCGCCATCTCCATTCGAGGCGTCGTCTTTGCAATCCTCTCGTCATCTCCGTCGTTGTCCGAATCCTCCCCTCACCGCCACCGTCATCCATCGTGTCGCACCATGACACCTGCTCCTTAAGTAGAAGATCTCCAGGGTGGGTCCCTGAGAAAAGGAAGGGCCCATGAATGAGGCCGCCAGAATTCGTCTTGCCCTCGCGCGACCCCGTACCGCGCCGCCCTCCCCCCCTCTCGACATCTTCTTCTTCCTCTTCTTCGTCTTCAGGGTCGGCGGCACCGGCCGTAAGGTCTTCGCAATAAAAAATACTCCGAAAATAATCCAAAAATAATCCAAAAATAGTCTGGGGACTATGTTTGGAATATTTTTTGACATCTTGGGAATATTTGGGGGGTATCTTTTAATTTTCGTCGAAAATCCCCCTGTAGGGGGACACGCCCGACCTAATCCTGCCCATACCCGTCTCCAAGCTCCCGACCCGCTGCACTCCAAGCCTGCTCCGGCACCTCCCGCCCACCTGCGCCCTCGGAGGGCCCCTCCCCCCCCCGGGCGCCGCGCGCGGGCGCCTCCTCGGTGCTCCTCCTGGCGCCTGTCTCTATTGAAGGGGCCCCCAGGACACAGAAATAGATGCACACGAGTGAAAAGATTCCCCATATCTTCCCATGTGTTCTGGATTTGTGTCTCCCCCCCCACTTCCCACATTTTCCCATATTTTCTTGGGAATCGACGATTCATCGTGTCTGTGTGTTTTTGTCCATCCTGACTTATATTCTCCGCGATCACGGGCGTGATCGGGGGGGGGGGGGGGGTGTTGGCCCACTCCCGACCACATCACGGCGGGCTTCGGCCTCCTGGGGCCTTTCTCGAGCCCCCGGCCCTCGGGAGGAGGAAGAGAAGGAAAAGGGAGGCAGTGCCTCCCCCTTGCCTCAGGCGGGACATGTCCTCCTACGGGCGGGTTTTGGAAGAAAACAAGAGTACCCCAAAACAATCGAAAAACTGTCCCCAAACTATTTTTTCAACTATTTTTGAATTTTCCTCCTGTACAGGGACATGCCCGGATTAACCCTTACCCCGCCTGTGCCTCCACTCGCTTCGCACGTGTCCTCGCGCAGGGCTCGAGCTGAGCGGTGTTTCACGCGTTCGTTTTGTATTCGGCGTCCTTCGTTCTGTCTTTGTTCTGCCTTTGCCGCGAAACGAAATCAACCCGATAACGGTCCGCGAAATCGCCAGAGCACCGTTCAGCTCGAGCCCTGTCCCAGCGCAGCCCGACCGCAACTCGGACCCGAGACGCCGCCGATTGAAAAAGTGCTCGACCGAGCCGGTTAATAGCTGGGCTCGGCCTCGCGCAGGCCCTGGGGGGGTCATGATGTTTGATGTTTGTCCTCTCTCCTCTCTCCTCTCTCCTCCTCCTCCTCCACTTTCACTTCCCCCTCCTCCACTTTCACTTCCTCCTCCTCCTCCTCCTCCTCCTCCTCCTCCTCCTCCCGTCGACTGCCTCGGACCCACCTTGAAACTGGGGGGCAGGGGGAGCGGCGGAGGCGAGGGCTGCACGCGTCTGACCACCTACGGGAGAGAGAAGCGAGGAGGCGGGAGATGACGAACCAACAACACGCACCCATACCCATAGGGGGGTTGGAGAGGGCTATGGGTGCGTGTTGTCGGATGGGGGTCCCCGCTCGAACGGGAGCCTTCCCCAGGGTCCGACAATCCGCACCCATACCCATAGCCAGTCCTCCTCCCAACGACCCCCTATGGGTATGGGTGTGTGTGTGTGTGTTGTTCGTTCGTCAGGAGAGCCCGTACACCCCTCGCCACCACAGCAAAGTCAAGGCTGTCAGCTTGCCCATGCCTTCGGGGCTGGGCCCCAGGACCGTCACGGAGAGACCCTTGCAGTGGAGCACTTTTCCCGGCGGCGGGGCCGAGAGGTCGGGAGCCTACGGGAGCCCGACACCACAGAGCAAGGACGTCGGATGCCTGGGGAGGAGGGGCGGAGGGAGGAGCGGCAGCAGCAGCAGAACTCAGGACCTGCCAACTCTCGCCGCTTCGGGGTCTCCTGGGGTAGCCCCGCCGCTCGGTGGCTGAGCCGTCGCAAGGTCGGCGGCGAGCGAGGGGGGGAAGTGAGAAGGAGAAGACCTTCTCAAAGGCTCGGAAGTCCCCCAGCCTTCCGAGAAGTTTTCTAAGCCTTCCCCGAAGACACAGGAAACCTCTCAGAAGGCACGAGGGCTTCCGAGAAGTCAGGCCTTCTCCTTCTCTCTTCCCCCCTCGCTCGCCGCCGACAAGGTGCCCCAAGGCGCGCCGACGAACCCAAAGGGGTCCGGCTTCCGCGAAGGGTGAAATCCTTGGCGAGGGGTTCGGGCACCGGGGGCGACCCCTGCCTTCAGATCCAAAGGGGAATGAACTCTCAGCCGCGGAGGTGCTGGTGCGCGGGGTCTCAGCCCCCCCAAACGCAACCGGAGGGAAAGCGCGAAAGCCCAGATTGGAAATGCAATGCAGCATCACTCTGATA